TTTATTCAAGCAATTAATCGCCAATATTTTATCGATTAACGGTTAATCATTTGAACACTTATAGGCGGACATACATACATTTGTACATAAATACATCAACATATGCATTAATGCATTCTTACATAAATATATGCATCAATACATCGTTTCGTCAATACATACATACATCGATGTATACATTCCCTCTGTTGTTCATTTATAATACAAATAATATGAATAACAGAAATAAGTACAAACATATAATTTTTTTCAGTGCAAAGCACACATATTTTCATTTAGGTTCTCTTTCATATTTTACACTACAACATAAGCATTTTAAAAATTCTCTTTGTGGCCACCAATGAATTAAACTAACAAATTTTAATAACATATTTTTTATTATTCTATATATAATATTGTTCATATATATACTGCCAACTCGCCCCAAAAATGTCCTAGAGACGCTGTATTATCTTGTATAATTCAATTATTTGGAATAATAAAGGTATATATATATATATATATATATATATATATATATATATATATATATATATATATATATATATATATATATATATATATGTATATATATATTTATATATATTTATATACAATGTACATCAGAGCCAGACATTTTCTATGCACGCGTGCTTTTCGGTCGTTACTAACGCCTAACTATAATGTGCATAAACTAGATTTCGAAAAAACTTTTAGGTGGCTAGAATGTACTTACATGCATACAAAACAATTTAGCTCCATTTTCACATTTATATACCACGCGTAATAACAAAAATTTATATTTCATAATATTTTATCGAAAAATTTTATACCAAGTTCACACGAGCAGTTGAATTACGTAATTCGGCCTCTGAATGACGATAGCCAATTAACCCGTTTCTATGACACATTCGTAATACGTTTTGGCAGTTCATCGCTATGTTGTTTTTTACATTCATTATTTTGTAATTTTTTGGAATATTAGTGTGTGTGTATGATACAAAAATACGTTTGTTACATTATTGTAACAAATTAAGTTATATATATAATGAGTGCGTGAATTACGAATAATTGCATCGTGTGAACGGGGTATTTACTTTTTTCTTTATTTTCTTTGTGAATAATAAACCAACAATTGATTCCGTACGGAATGTGCTTTCAGTATCGCTCTGTGCTTAAGCAAATAAAATTTGACGAAACTTGACGAAACTCTCTTAAAGTACATTATAGTTTGTCACATACGTTTTATATGTATTCGCTCAGTTGCTTAAGGTGACTTCAGCTTGTGTAAGCATATTATAGTCAGCGTTACCGTTGTGAGACTAAAGTCGCAATTGGACATTTTTTTAAGAGCTTTGCCACTTTTTGTGACCCCTTGTCAAAATGAACTAAATTTTCGACTTTTTCGCTTCTTGCCACTTTCGGCCCCTTTTTGAATAAAACACATTTTTGTATTTTTGCAATTTTACACAAATATTTCCTATGGGTAGGTTTGTTTAGTATTGAAAATTGAAATTAGTCAACGTTTTGCATAGCCCCCATACAAGTGCCCCCCGAAAAAAAACTTTAACAGACATACCCCCATTTTCTCAATGCCTGGTTATATTTTATCGAAACGGTAGGTTGACAGTTTTCATACAAATACCCGTTTATATATATCTTTCTTTAAAAATGTACATATGTATGAATATCACCCAGAAAAACAGTACAGCAATGAAGTTCGACAAAAATTCATTTTAATTAACCGAAATTTTTTTGATAAGTTTTTATATGAATCGGTCCATAATTAGCCTTTCTCCATGTAGAGGTTCCCTTCAAAATATAAATTTAACGCTCATAACAGTCTAACTTTTATGGAATCCGAAAACTGCATACCATAAAAAATAAACAAATTATTTAGGAACCAAAATCTTTTTACCAAATTTTATGAAGATCTTTTTATAAATGGCACTTTGATATACGATAATGAAATTCAGTATTAATGATTAAACTGTGGTCAAATATAGGATTAAATTCCAAAAATCGCTTAAAATTTATTTATTGTTCCCAGATGTGCTGTTAAGCCATGAGCTCATAAATTCTATAAAAATAATATGTTTTTACAAGTAGAAGACGCTCAACGATTTTATTTAGGCTTTTATACAAATCTACTTCTGTCTATTTGACTGTTCTACGGATGAAACGGCCCACAAATAGTGAGCATGGGAGGTGGAATTTTTCAAACATATTTTGGGGTTTACTCTGTATTTCGTTTTGAAAGAAAAATCTTTCGAACACAATGTTAATTAATTTAACATTCAAACTATTAACATACAAATTCGAAAATTTTTTCATTAGAATCGAGTTACAGATTAAGCCCCCAGTATGATATTCAAAATTGGTGAATCGTCTAACTAGAAAAATATTTTATGAATGTCCTTAATATAATGAAACCTTAAGGTGAGAGCTAGAAAACGTTTTAGAAAATATAAAAATCGTTGATTTAATTCAAATTTATGTCTCTGATCAGCCTCCGTTTATTATATTTCGGAAAAATATTGCGCCGATAAATAAAGAAAATGGGGTAAATAATTTGATATTGGATGTATCGACTGAATTTTTATTTTATATCTGAGCATTATTATCATAATTTTATTGCTAATTAAAATGTGGTTAATTATTTTGATTTATTTACCAATTTAATGCACATTTAAATATAAATGAAACAAGTAAGAAATTATAGTCGGGCGAGGCCGACCATATAATACCCTACACCTTTGACAAAAATATAATGTGATTTATTTGCCATAATAAAGCATTTAAATTGAATTGTACCTTGCCTCAGATATACATACTTAAGCCGTTTATTGTTGAATAAAATTGTGCACATTTAAGTGAAATTTTGATGGGGGCTTTTCATAGGGGCTAGGGTCATATGAGGGCCATCAAATCTTGTATAGAACTTGGTTTTTGCAGCTTTTTTTTCGAGATATGAGTATATTAAACATAATTATGAACTTAAAAGCCCTATTCGGCGGATTCAGTTGTATGGGGGCGAGGTGAAATAATGTACCGATGTAAATCATTTTCAACAGGCTTCGTTTACGGTACCATAAGAGATCATGTGCCAAATTTCATTGAATTATCTCCAAAATTGCGACCTGTAGTTTAATTACAATGTTTAAAAGCCCTATTCGGGGGTTCAGTTGTATGGGGGCTAGGTGAAATAATGGCCCATTTTCAATAGGCTTCGTCTACGGTACTATAAACGATCATGTGCCAAATTTCATTGAATTATCTCCAAAATTGCGACTTGTAGTTTGATTACAAGGTTTACAAGCCCTATTGGGGGTTTCAATTGTATGGGGGCTATGTGAAATAATGGAACGATCTTAACCATTTTCAATAGGCTTCGTCCCTGGGACTATAGAAGATCATGTACCAAATTTCATTGAATTATCTTCAAAATTGCGACCTGTAGTTTGATTACAAGGTTTACATGGACGGACAGACAGACAGACAGACGGACGGACAGACGGGCTTAGCTAAATCGACTCAGAAAATGATTCTAAGCCGATTGGTATACTTGGTGGGTATAGGACCATTATTATTGTGCGTTACAAACATCAGCACAAACCCAATATACCCTCCCCACTGAAGTGGTGTAGGGTATAATGATTTACCTACATTGACACTTTTTGCGCTAAAAATCCCATTTCAGTGCGACTTTTTCCGAAAAATCCCATTTTTGTGCGACTTTTCGAAATTTTCTAACGGTAACGCTGATTATAGTTAAGCCTTAAATTTACAACAACGAACTCACACGTACTAAAAACTCATTCAGTCTCGTTTGAGCGTTCATTGAACGATGTTGTGTTGTCGTATGTCTGCTAAAGCAGGGATGGACATTATGTTTTTAACATGATCTACATTTTTAGAATTAAAATTTTTTTTTAAATAAACTTATTTCTAATGATTTTTTTAATTCTCTTTAGCTATTTTTAATACTTCATTACTTATTTTTTGCAATTATGACCGAATGGAATATTAGATGCACTTTTATTTTTTTACACATCCATTATTGTAATCATAATTTGACCCGAATCTAAAAAACAACTTAACGAATCAGTTAAAACGAATTAAATTTTAATAATTAAATAAAGATAATCTCAAAACTAAAATTGACAAATGAGTATTAACTTACATTCCCCATAATAACTACCAAATATCTCAGAAAGTTTTTTTTAAATATATATATTTTTAAAAGGAAACAAATTTAAATCTAAATATTTCTTAAATTATATAAGTAAAGAAGTCTAAACGAAATTTACAAATTATAACTATTACTTTCAATTAATATACCACCATTAAAAAATAAAATTGTCCATGCTTGGTGTAGTGAATATGAGAGTACAAAATGTTCGCTTTTCTTATTTGTCGCCGGGCTCTTTTTTAGATTATGCCAGTCTTGTAGTAAATGTGCGATATGTTTTTGTTTTGTCATATTTGCAATTTCGTGTCAAGTGACCTAACTTTTAAAATCGATGTCTTCCGATTTGGATGAAATTTGCACCAAGGTGAGTTCTATTGTATAGTGGGCCAGACTTGTGTTTCAGCTCTTTTGGTCAGAACTGCCGGACTTAGAGGGGTTCAAAGTTTGACATAGTGGTCATACAGGGTTTTATTCAAATAAGTGTAACTAAAAAAAGAAATTGTTCATTGTGAAAACAGTTGAAAAGTTACACTCATTCGAATAAAACCATGTATGACCAAAATGTCCAACTTTTACCCCCTCTAAGTCCTACAGTTATTGACCGATAGAGCTTAAAATTTGTGTATGGCCTACTATCTAATAGTACTAACCATCGAAATCGATTTTTTGAGTTGGGTCACTTGGCACGAAATGGCCCATATATAAAAAACGATTAGAATAAATATTGTTTTAGTATTTGGATAAATCCAAATTTCTGAATTTTGGTAATTTTTTAATGTTAGTTGGACATTTCTGGTTACTTACCACATAATTATGAATAATAGTAGTAATTATTACATATATTATTAATTTCGTACAAAGCATTCTGATTAATTTCATTTTATGATATTGTAGTTTATACAACCAATAAAGTTTGTATGTTGGTTTATAATACTACAAATCTTATATATTTTCCTTTGCTTTAATCATTATTACACACTTTAAAAAAAACTTAAAATTATTGATAAAAAAATTATGTATAATATTTACATACAATATTAACACTATTTAGGCAAACATTCCAAACATTATCATTTTAGAAGTTTTCTCGATTTGTTATCAATGAATGATGGTTTAAAAAAAAAAAGTTATAACAAAATGATATATACAAAACTAAAAATACCAGGTTCGGTTTAAGCATATTTACCACCTACGAGATACACTATATTAGACTTGTGTGTACAAATGTATAACAATAGAGTGCTAAAAATGAATATCACAAAAAAGGCTAAAGCGAAGAGTATTAGAAGACGACTGAGTAATGCTGTACGCACAATTGGAACGACGAATTTTCGTCCTCAGATATAGAACACACTAAGGTATATGAAAATACGTACAATCAATGCGTATGAGGAAATTCGTCATATGTAACGAACTGTGCGATAGGTTTATTTCTATTTCATACGCAGACGAACGACGAATAAATTGGAGTAGAGTGACCCTCTTACATTTTGGTTTTAGAGTTTTTTTGTAAATTAATTTATTTTTTTGTTTTAAGTTGTGCTTTCTTTTATGTTTGTGGTATATAAACTAAGTTAACGCAATTTTTTATTAATATAATTTTCATTCAATATGAAAATAAAAAAATATTTAAAAAATTTTCAAATAAAATATTTTTTGTTTTAGATATATGGTCACACCAATCAGTATGTAAACAAAAATTCATTTGAAAATGTTTAAAAATGTTTTGAAAATATTATTTGTTGTGATTTTATATTACGAGAAGTGCGGCGAAAATTCCGAAAAAAGAAGTCATTTTAAAGCAATTCGCAATACGGAATGATTTATTGTGTTTCAGTTGGACGAAATTGGTCGTTCGTCCCAATTGTGCTTATACCATAAAGTATACATAAATAAAAATCGAATTATAAAAATTGTTTAACTATCTTTCCGAGTACGTTCTATTTCATCTGAGGTAAGTGTTAATTTAATTTTGAAGAAACCAAATTGTTGTCCTGCAATTCTTCTATATTTAAGATACCGATCTGTGCAGAACCACAGATATCTTGCTATATTATTTTTGAAATATGATCAACTAACGTGGCAAGATAGCGTAATATAAACTATTATTCTATGTATATTTCGATACGTTTTAAACAGAATGACAAAATGTATCGAAATTATAAAAGCACTTGTTTAAGTAACATATTTGAAGTACTTAATGCTCCTTAAAAATAAATCCTACTGTTAATATTAAATAATAAAAATATATTTCAAGTTGTATATTTTAAATGCACCGTGGTAAAATGTTCTAAGTTGACCAAAATAGTGTTAACAGTGGTTTAAATTTTTTTTATTAATAAAATTGCTAAATTATGGTGTCTAACTGTCTGGCTTGATGTAAAATTTTCTTTTGGTGTCCCACCAAAGTAATACCCATATCCGATAATTGTTGAGCAGTTAATCTTGAGATCTAAAAAAAAGGAAAAACTTATATTAAAAATAAATAATGCAAATAAATAAAAAAAAACGAAAAGACTTAAACCTCCAATAATGACGAAATTAAGGCTCAGTTAGTTTGAAAGTTCCGTAACGTTTCCGTCAGAGATACAGGCCGATTCAAAATGATCGGCGGCGGCGCAACCATTTTAGGTCGACGGATTTAACTTTTTCTTCAGAAATTGAACTTATAAGCGTTTATTATATTGAAAAATCTCTGTATAATAGTCTGTTATATAGAAACCTGTCTCTATATAAGTTATTTCTGCAGAAAATGGACATTATTATAGTAGTTTTCACTATTTTAATATTAGCACAATTAGTAAGCAGCTGTTTTTAAGAATAAGCAAAAAAGCAACTCTGATTTGTTGTGTCAAAAACCAGTAATAATTAAAATTTTCTGATGTACACAATTTTTAAAACTTTAACATCACTGTTTTTTTCTTGCTTACATTTCTTTGTATTTTCTGTCAGCAGTTTTTAGCTGTCACTTAACGTTGCGGATTGAATTCTATTTTCTACAGGTTCATCCGCAACGTAACTTCGACGTTATGGCAAAACTAACGACTTACACAGGTCTTCGTAAGCCAAAAACGAATCAGCTGATTCATCACGGAACGGAAAGTAGAATTTAACTGAGCCTTTACTGAAGAAGTTTAAAGATCCTCAAACAAAAAATGGATTTACATGTGTCTAAACAAAAGAAACATATAACAGCTTGATTATAATTGGAATCGCTGTCGAAAAACCACAAAAAAAGATCGAGCGACGAATTAAAATTAAGCGACTGTCGACAGACCATATTTTTTGACGTTTATTAGAAAAAATCAAAGCAAAATGATGGTTTTGTTTAAAATTAGAATTATTTTTTAAGAAATAAATAGGAATGGTTAAAAAATTATTCAGAATAAAATAAAAGAAACAAAACAATATGTTTTCACATTTTAATTTTTTATTTTCATTTAATATCTTCTGTTAATAACACATGGCAAAAAAATGCGCATTATAACAACTCTGTTTTTGGACGATTTTTAGCAAAATATTATGAACATATGGCAACGGTACAATATGAAAATAAGAGAAAAACCAGTTAGAATGCTATATTCGGCTATGCCGAATCTTAAATACCCTCCACCTACAAGATATTTTTTATTAAAACCAGATATAAATATGTTTTAAATGGTTAAAGTTATAGGGCCGAATTTATAGTTTATACTAAGGAAAGAAATTTAACTTAAGTATGTACTTTAGTACTAAAGTACTTTATTTCCCTTATGTAGAACTGTAAACCCAGCATATGTTTTGTTTCCGTAATTAAGATACTATTTTTCATTTTGTAACTTCTTTATGCATGTAACTAATTTTGATTAGGCCCAGAAACATTTGTATTAAGTGATTTTCAGATACCGACCGATTATTCTTATACCTATTACACCGTGCAACAGTAATTTTTACACATAAAAAAAATCTATGTGTACAGGAAACTGTGGACCATATGTATTAACTCTGCGTACTCAATTTTTCATAATCAGCTCTTACGCCCCTATAAAAGGACCTTAAAGTTTAAAGGACATACGATTTTAAAAGATGGAATTCTAAATTTATATAAAAAAATTGGTATAAATATTAATATCAAATGAAGCTGAGAATATCTGCTACAAAATAATATTGTTTATTTCAATTCATCAGGATTAAAAAACAAATGGAAGCTGAAAGAAAATTTGTGACAAAAAAGTTTTTAAAAATTTTCATTTCGAAAGTGAGACCTTTTATAATTTTAATTTCTTTTTAGATTTTTTGTCTAAATGAGTCCAATAAATAATATTTATAAAAGCTTTTTTTGATACCAATATTAGCATACAATAACACATAAAAATATTTGTTTGAAATTGTAAGTCCTTGGAATTTTGAAGTCCTTTTGTAAGGACATAAAAGCTGATTATTAAAAACGGAGTACGTAGAATTACTATAAATAGACTCTAGTTTCACATGCATATCAACTTTTCTATGTGTGAAAGGTTTTTTCAAAATTATTACAGAGTGTTATGTGCCGATCCTGCCGATAACATATTTGGGAACTATGACCAATAATGGATCAATTCGAAAAAAATTATCAAAATGATTTATCTATACACAGAACATACTCATGTCGAGTTTAATAATAACTTATGTGGTATTAAGTGGTTTTCAGACGTGAACCTTATATGGGAGCTAGTTATATATACTGAAAAAATTCCTTATATGGGAGCTGTAACCAATTATGGACCGATGTAGAAAATTTTCACGAATGATTTATATATGCATATATAAATATATATAAAACAAATTCACGTCGAGTTTTAATCATGATAGCTTTATTTATCAATGATTTATGCGCATTTAAGTGATTTTCGGATTTGGACCTTATATGGGAGCTATGACCAATTATGGACCGGTCCGAAAAAAAAATTCTTAAAGTAATTCATATATACACAAAACATATTCATGTCGAATTTTATACCGATAGCTTCATTTATCAATGAATCAAGCTTGTTTTAGTGATTTTAGGATGTGGACCTTATATGGGAGCTATGACAAATTGTGGACCGATACAGATCTAAGTTGGTAGTATCATTCCTGTTCATATTATGTCAATATCTACAAAATTTGGTGTTGATACAGATATAGTTGAGGAAGTTATTAACGATAAATTAATTTCCGGAAATATGTACCTTTGTATGGTGGCTATGGGAAATTTTGGATCGATTGTTAAAATTTAAAACATAATTAATCTATAGATGAAAAAAATAATCTGTGACAAAATTTGTCGAATTATCTTCGGTAGTTTCTGGGAAAACTGCTCAAGAATTAGGAAAAAAATTAATTTTTTTCGAGGTAATCTGAAATTTTTACGTATAACTTTTTAAGTTAAGAACCGATTTTGCTGATTTTCAATACCAAACTGCTTAGGAAAACAATGAATATTCTCAGTGATTTCATTTGCTTAGTTTTAACGTCAGCGTGTTTTAACCAGACAGACAGACAGACAGACGGACATAGCTAAATCGACTCAGAATTTCATAAGGACCCAGAATATATATACTTTGTTGGGTCTCAGATGAACATTTTTTGGTGTTATATATGGAATGACAAACTTATATATACCCTCTATCACCACTGATGGTGATGGAGGGTATAATGAGAGGATCGCAAGAGAGCGCAATAAAAATAGAATAGAATCTATATCAACCACAATATCACCAACCACAAGACGATATTTTGCCCTCCATACAAAAGGTATGAAAACTCATTGTCGACAGCGGTTGTGGTTCCAATTATAATCATGCTGTAATATTGAATTAGCATTGTTATGTGTAATTAAGAATAATTATTTTCGGTTTGTAACTTAAATATTCGTTTTTAAAGCATACATATCAAAGAATTTTGACAAATCAATTTAGGACAATTCAAAGATTATTGCGTAACAGTAAAGAATTTTTAAAAAATTGCATACCTGTTGAGCCGTCACCAAATTAGCTTCTTTAAAATGCTGAGAATATCTAGACATCTTTATATTTTCCAACCACATGTCTGTGCTTATAAATATATTGTGACCCCGTTGGCCATCTATAATGTGGGTGCCGTCATTTTCGGGTGAACTGCGTGTAGTCAATAATGCTTGAGGTTGTCTAGCTAAATTGTCTAATGTTGAAACTATGCTTGCAAATGATGGACGATGAGTGCGCTGTTTTTGCCAACAATCTAACATTAGTTGATACAATGCTTCCGGACAATCCATTGGGGCTGGCAAACGATATCCCTTTTCAATGCTTTTAATAACGTCCTTTAAATTGAAATTAAATTATTATAAAAACACGTATTTTAAAATATTTCGCAATAACTTGCCTGATTTGACCAATTCCAATACGGACGTTCGCCATAAGACATAACCTCCCATAAAACTACACCATATGACCAGACGTCAGACGCAGATGTGAATTTTCTAAATGCTATAGCTTCAGGCGCCGTCCAACGTACTGGTATTTTTCCACCCTGAAATAACATAGACCAATGTAGATATACATACATATGTACATATTTATTCTTGATGTTCTATTTGTAGCTTACCCTTGTGGTATACGCATCACTTGCGTTTTCAATCTCTCTCGAAAGTCCAAAATCAGCAATCTTGCATATAAGTTGAGAATTAACGAGCACGTTGCGGGCGGCCAAATCACGATGAACATAATTCATGTCACTCAAATAAGCCATGCCGCTCGCAATTCCACGCAACATCACTATTAATTGTAATGTTTGGAATTTTCCATCGTTGACGCGTAAAAATGTATCTAGGCTACCATTTTCCATATATTCAGTTATAATCATAACTGGATTTGAGCGTGTCACAACTCCTTGTAAATAAATAACATTCGGATGATCAAACTGTCCCATAATAGATGCTTCCGTTAAAAAGTCGCATCTCGCTTTTTCCGATGAACCTAGAATATTAATATTTCATATTAGTAAAGAACGTTTAATAGATACACCTTCAAGGGCCAATCTTTAGGTTAAAGGTTAGCGATTAGATTAAAATTAATCCTCGAAAGTTGTTTTTATACCCACCATCAAAAAAGATGGCCCCTCTCAGAAAACGACTATTAAGCTTATACTTTGTTTCAAGATAATAGCAATACAACGACTTTCGACATAAACAAGTTTTAGGGGAACTAAAATCTCTCCGCCAAATTTTATGGAGATCGGTCCATAATTGACGGTCATTGACGGGTCAATTATGAACCCATATAAGGTTCCTCTCAGAAAATTACTTTGAAGCTCATAACTTGCTTCAAAATTTTAGTAAATCAACGAAAGTCAACATAAAACAAGTTAGAGCGCTATATTCGGCTATGCCGAATCTTAAATACCCTCCACCAGCAAGCTACTTCTTATTGAAACCCATCTAACTATCTAATTTTTAGATAACACGCCAAAATTTTTGTCGAACTAATTTTGATTAGGTCCAGAAAAATTTAGAATGATTTATCTATACACAGTACATACTTATGTCGAATTTTATCCGGATATAATAATTTAATAACGAATTAAGTGGTATTAAGTGATTTTCAAAAGTTAACCTTATATGGGAGCTAAGACAACTTATGGATCGGTCCGGAAAAAATTCCGTATGGACCGATCCAGAAAAAATTGTATACTTATGTATAAAATGTGCGTTTAAGTAATTTTCAGAAATGGTCCTTATATGGGAGTTGTGACCAGTTATGCACCGATCAGGAAACAATTTCGTATAATGATTTATATGCAGAAAAAGATCAAGTCTAATTTTACTCCAATAGCTTTATTAATCAGTTTAGTTTAGTTGATTTTAGGAAGTGGACTTTATATAGGAGCTATGAGCAATTAAGGGCCTATCCGGAAAAAAATTTCGTAGATTGTGGACCGACAGAGATCTACGTTGGTAGTATGATTTCTGTTCATATTATATTTGTATGTACAAAATTTGGTGTTGATACCGATATATTTGATTGAGTTATTAACGATAAACTAATTTCCGGGAATATATACCTTTGTATGGTGGCTATAAGAAATATTGGATCGATTGTAAAGATTTTGAACATAATTGATCACTGCCCTAAAAAACAAAGTGTGACGAAATTCATCGCAATATCTGTGGTAGTTTCTGAGAAAACTTCAAAAGAATTAGGAAAAAAACGTAATTTTTTCGAGGTAGTCTGAAATTTTTACTCATAACTTTTTACGTTGTGAACCAATTTTGCTGATTTTCAATACCAAAATGCTTAGGATAATAGAAAATATTTTGGGTGAATTTGGTTGATGTCCTTTACTTAGTTTTAACGTGAGCGCGTTTTACACAGACAGACAGACAGACAGACGGACATAGCTAAATCGACTCAGAATTTCATAAGGACCCAGAATATATATACTTTGTTGGGTCGTAGATGAATATTTCTTGGTGTTACACACGGAACGACAAACTTATATATACCCTCTATCACCACTGATGGTGGTGGAGGGTATAAAAATTTTATCGGAATAAAATCTCTACCATATTTTATGATTATCTATATTTGACCCTACCTCCTATATAAGGTCCCCTTCAGAAAATGACTATGAGGCTTATAGCTTGCTTCAAAATGATAGCAAAGCCACGAAATTCGACGTAAACAAATTTTAGGGGAACTAGAATATCTCTCGCATATTTTATGGAGATCGACCCATACCCCCCATATAAGGTTCCTCTCAGAAAATTACTTTAAAGTTCACAACTTTCTTCAAAATACCAGTAAATCAACGAAAGTTTTAGTGGAACTAAAATCACTCTGCCAAATTTTATGTGGATCGGTTCATAATTAACCATACCCCCGATATAAGGTCCCCTCATAAATTGCCTACAACGCTCATAATTTGCTACAAAATGATACTAAAGCAACGAAATTCGACATAAACAAGTTTTCGAGGAACAAATATCTCTCTGCCAAATTTTATACCCCATAAAAGGTTCCTCTCAGAAAATTACTTTAAAGTTCAAAATGTTTGCTATAAACATGTTTTATAGAAACTAAAATCTCTCTGCCAAATATTAAGAGGATCGGTCCATAATTGATTCTACGTAAAATTTCCCTTTGCTCGGGGGAGTTTTCCCGTTTTTCCTACCGAGCGCGTCCCCGGGTGGCAGATATTATATTCCCCGCGGACCAAAAACCTTTGCCTCCGTAGCGGACAATGCGTCAAGTGTACAGCATGCCATTGGCAAAAACATAGGGGTGACGGAGAAGGATGTACACGAAAAGAGCTCTAAGCTACCTCAGTCTTTAAATATAGGTGAGGGTTCCGATTCTCAATCCTCAGATGATAAGAACAACACTATTATAGCAAATCCCAAAAAGGATGAAGTAGAGCAAATGGTGAAAGAGGTAAGTGATAGCATAGCTAAACTAACTACGATTGGAAGGGCTGTTACAACAAGCCTCGAAGAGGACACTAAAAAAAATAAGACCACAGCATCAGAAGCAACTACTGATAACGTTAAGGAGTCAAATCCTAAAAACGAGGAAGGTACACTAACTCGCCAAAAGAAGGTGCAACTGCCCTTTCCAAAATTGGGGAGGCGCCGTTTGAAAGGGCTGTTAAAACCGGCCCGATAAGAACACTAAAACACCTAAGACTGGTAATTTTGAGGAGTCAAATCCTAAAAGCGAGGAGGAAACACTCACTCGCCAGAAGACAGAACAGCAGTGCTGTCCAAAATTGGGAAAGTGTCGATTAAAAAGACTGCTCTTGCTATGCCTGATAAGGACACCGCAGTGTCATCAAAGGTATCCACTGCATCAATAGCCACTTCAGATCACCCGGAGGAGTCAAATCCAATGAGCGGGGAGGTGATCACTAACTCGCTGGAAGACAGTTTAAATGGATGACAATGATTGAGGTTATCCAAATAAACCTCTATCGGAGCGAGACGGCTACCAACGCTCTGATGGATTAAATTAATACAGGTAAGATACATATAGCTTTAATCCAGGAACCTTGGACGATTCGCAACAAGGTTTCTGGATTAAATCACGTAAATTTCCAACTTTTCTAAACTGACACATGGTCTCGACCGAGAAATGTATCTTATGTCAAAAGAACTTATGTTTTCTCCTCTCAACAGGATTATCCACATCGGATGCAACGGTGCTGAAGCAAGGTCGTGGCAACATATACCTTGCATCTGTTTACCTGCCTTTCGATTCTCCGACACTACCACCAACGTCGGAGCTGATAAAACTGGTCGAAGAGGCACAAAGGAAAAATAAGAAAATTATAAAGGTTGTGATGCCAACTCCCACCATGTAGCTAGGGGTAGTACAAACACCAATCGCAGAGGACAGGCCCTCATGGATTTCCTTAATACTAAAGACTTGATACCATCGAACTTAGGTAATAAAGCTACCTTCGTCAATAGAATCAGAGAAGAAGTATTAGATATAACTATATGTTTAGAAGAGCTTATAAACGAAATTCAGGATTGGAGAGTTTCGGACGAGCACTCCTTTTCTGACCATCGGTACATAAGATTCAAAATACTACGGCCGCCACCAAAGCCGATAAAGTTTCAGAATAAGTCTAAAACTAATTAGACAATGTTCGGTTCCTTACTAAAGAACCGTTTATGTCAGGATACTTTTCAATGTCGAAATAAAGAGGACATAGACGCCAAAGTAGAAATGTTCACAAGTGCCTTGGTTGAATCGTTCGAGGACAGCTGCCCTCTGTGAGAGCCAAGATCTGCCCAGGAAAAAACCTGGGTAACCGGGGAGATCCGGAACCTTGGTAAGACTCTTCGCAAACTATTTAACCGGGCACGGCGTAAAAAGACCGCAGTATACTGGGATGAGTATCGTAGTAAAATTGAAGAATATAAGAAAATCGTTCGAAAAGCCAAACGAGACTCCTGGAAACTTTTCTGTGAACAGGTAGATAGCGTAAATGACATATCGAAGATAAAAAAATTCCTATCCAAAACTCATGTCCAACCGGAATCTATGATCGATGACATAGTCAGGAGGTTGGAGGATATGGAGGAAACAATGAAACTCCTAATGGACTCTCATTTCCCACCCGGTATATCGAATAACATAGATGAACCGATATTGGAGGAAGGGGAGGCTAACTCGAAAATTGTAATTACATCTGATATGGTTAAAGGGGCAATCAAGAGCTTCGCTCCCTATAAAGCTGCAGGGTCGGATGGCATTTTCCCGGCACTCTTACAGATGGAGGCTGGTCTGGTTTCCGAACATCTGTCTCAGATATTCACTGCATGCTTGAAATTCACATATACCCCCATTAAATGGCAGGATACAAGGGTAATGTTTATACCTAAACCCGGGAAACCTAGCTATGCGGCACCTAAGTCTTATCGACCGATAAGTCTTACGTCCTTCCTACTTAAAACCTTGGAACGGATAGTCGATAGTATGGTTAAAAGCAGTATACCCAAAGACAAAGACCTAAAATTTAAGCAGCATGTTTATGTAAAGGGACGATCGGTGGAAACCGCTTTAAACGAAGTTGTTCACTACATAGGTGCATCCTTTGATAGCAAACTATATACACTGGCGGTATGCATTGACATCGAAGGGGCTTTCAATAACGTGCACACTGATACTCTTATCCAATCCATAGACCAGTTTTATGTTGACCAGGTGCTCCGTAACTGGATCAACCACATGCTAAGGAACAGATGGATAAGCTGCGAGATGTACGATATAACTATCGGGAAAAAGGTATTTCGCGGTATACCACAGGGTGGCATTTTGTCACCTTTACTCTGGGTTACCACGATTAATAGCCTCCTAAGGACCCTAACCGAGAAAGGACTTAGACCTGTCTGCTATGCAGACGATGTCGTAATACTTTTAAAGGGAAAGGATCCAAATTACTTGTGTAGAAGAGCTGAGGAGGCTCTGAATAC